TTTGTTAAATGTGTATTATTGTAGTTATTATATTATTAGATTATTTTTTCATTGAAATTTGTTTAAAAAATGAGCGTTAAATGTGCTACGAAGAGTTATTTTTATTATTTCTCTCTGCCATTGTATTTTAGTTATTATTCAATAAACAGGCTATTAATTTTAATTAAGGCTTTTATTTAATTCGGTCCAATTACTTATTAAAAGAAACCGATGACTCACGCTTTGATTAAAACGAATAAAAAATAAATTTATTTAATGGAACTATTATTTATTATTATTAGTTTCTCTCTGGGTGCTTCTATATTATTCTTTTTGTTTGAAAGTGAACTTTAACCCATTAGTAGGGGAACTCAAGCAACTCTGCAAGCTAACATAAAACTTATGAATTAAGTCATAAATAAAGACTTAATATTTAAAAGTCCATTTCACTAGTCCAAAAAGTAGCAAAATAAGCGTTCGGCATTTAACGTTTTATGTAAAACTGGTAAGGTATTGTTACACAAATGAAGAAGGAAATTAAAGTTAAAGGATTATACTATATCCGTATTGTAGCACATTTTTAGACAACTTCTTTATTTTTAAGATTTTGCTTGTCAAACATCAACAAAATATTCCTTATGTTTGGACTAATTTTTCTCGAAAATAAAGACATAATTTAAAATTCCGTTACAATACGGAAATAGATTGAAGTTTTGTGATTACAGTGATATATAATTTATATGGTTTTGTAACAAATTGCTCGCTATTTTATGGCAAATGCTGAAGCTCTGCAAACCTTAATCAAGCCTTAATCAAAGCACGTGTGTTTGGAATTTTGGGTGTGACTTAACACGACAGGATGGGGCTAAACCTTAGGCAGATTTACAGCGTAGAACAGTACAGCGTAATAGACTCTTAAATCATTTTGATATTAGAAATGACTTTAAAATTTAAGTCTTACTGAAACTGACTTGTTGCAGCTCTGCTATTAATATCTGAAACGCTGAAGAACTTCTTTGTGACTTTTTATATTTTTGAAAACCTGTACACGCTCCCAGCACGAGTAAAAGAGCATACATTATAATATTATAACTTTTTTTCTTCTTTTTAGCATCTAATTCTCATACTACAATATGTCCCTATGACGATCTAGTAAATCCCTATTTAGCATCAGGAGCTCCCTTACTAGATGTTTTATTTTTATATAGTGGACACCATTCAAGTATTTGTAGTTCAAAGAAATTAACCGCATTCTTTTATTTTTCTCCGTTATTTTTAATTATCAAATGTTTTGTTTCTGTCCTTAATTGCTCTTAATTTATATTTATTGAGGGACAGAAAAAAAGAGTGTTTAAACAATTTTACTCACTTAAAATAAGAGATAATAATATAGATCTGTACAAAAGATAAAGTAACCATATACATCGATGAGTTTTGACCCCTCATATACAAGCAAAGTGTAAACAAAACCTTTGTTTATTTACAATTTAGATCGTATGATTACAAATATAGATCGAATGTTGTCTATATGATCCAATATACCAGAGCTACTGTACTCCACTGTCTAAAATACTATCTTTGAAAAGGCTCATCATGCTTTATTTTTGTGGAAAATTTCAGAAATGATGCACTTTTTACATTTTATCTCACAGATTTTTCAAAAAAATAATGAACTGTAAACAATGTAAACAAAGCAAAAACTTCTAGACCTTAACTGGTAAGACACAAAAGTGGTCTCAATAGAATTTTAAAAACTAAAAACCGTATTAGTAACTGTGCAAGCTGAGTTATTGATACAGAAACAAATAAATATTATACAGGGTGTCCCAGAAATAAGTGCAAGTATTTTAAGAGGTGGTAGATCTCGATAAAAGAAACATATTTTCTCTTTATCGTTTTTCAAGTAAGTCCAAAATAACGGAGTTATGTTTTACTTTGAAAATTTCAAAAAAAAAATTATTTTTTTGCTAAAATTTTGAGAACCACTGGATTTTTTCGGGATTTTCTTTCTTGTAAATTTAATGTACTACCTATGTTGCCATATTATCAAGAAATTAAGTTTTTTAACTAAAAACTAAAAAAAATTCCAAAATTTTTTTCAAAAAAATCGCGAAAAAAACCTCATAGGCGTGTTTCTGGGGGGTTGAACGAACTATACTGCCAGTTAAAATACTTGCACTTATTTCTGGGCCATCCTGTATATAAAAAAAATGGAAACAACAAATTATAGGTACAGTATCATCGAAAAAAAAAGGAGTCCAGTTGGCTTGGAAATGAACATCGATGACATTCCTCCCTTAATATAATTTTACATATAAAATTATTCTTATAATCATAAAAAAAAAGAATAAATTGACACTCCGTACATTACACATTACACACATATTCACTATAAATCTAATAAGTTTCTCCCTTTTTATTTTTTTTTAGGTTTTATATATTTTATATCCAACTCACGGTAATATATAAACTTATTTTTATTTATTTATTTAAACTGTATTTATAAATTGTAGTATCGCTGTTGAAACACATACTTTCCTACAGACAGACGGTATATTATTAAGTATAATTTATTATACGGTATATACAACAAATAATCTATAATTTCCTATGATCGATGTTTTTTTTCTGTTATTTTGTTTTAATTAAAAGTCAGACGTTTATTTGTAATAACACCTCCTGGCTAGTGTGTAACAATAAACGATTTTATTGTAAAAATAGAGATCTATAGAAATATGTGTAGCAACAGGGATTTATTTATTTAAGTTTTTCTTCTGTGTCCTTTACCGTGCTCCTTTGATGCAAAGAAACAATTTTAAATATAACTAATTTATTTGACAGCGGAATGTCTCAATAATACGTTGTACAGGATGTTTTCTAAGTAACCTATAATTTTTTTTTTAATTTTTCTCAATCTTAATATACAGCGTAACAGTTTTTAAATAAACAATTTTGTTTATGCCACAGTATACAATATACTGTATGATCGAAAAAAAGCGCTAAAATGGCTAGGGCATAACAATGAAAGAACATTTTGGCGAGGTCAATGTCCAGACGTCATTTGCTAAAAATTGACATCTAATTATAGAAAAACACACCGAAATCTATTAAATAATTTTTTTTTCTGAAATTTTAAACTACACCATTTATAATAATTTTTACTCAGTATAATATTAAAATACAACCTTTTTAAGGCCAGCTGGCAGTCGCCAGCGAAAAATAAAGAAGAGAAAGGGCCAAGACATCCAGGGCTTGACCCCGCCAAAATTATCATCGGTTGTCATTTCCCAGCCCGTCTTTGACGTCGTTTATTTTTCCATTATATGATATTTACGTTAGTTAGAAAAAATCCTGCATATACAGGGTGAGTCTTAGTCAAGTGTACATATTTTCAGGGCTGGTAGATCTCGACAAAAGAAACCTTTTTACCGTTTTTCAAATAAGTGCTAAATACATAGTTATTTTACTTTGAAAATTTTACAAAATATATATTTTTTCCTTAAATTTTGAGAACCACTGGATTTTTTCGTTCCCTAAATATAATTTACTATCTTTGTTGCCATATTATCAAGATATTTTGTTTTCTAAATGAAAAATAAAAAAAAAATAAAATATACAAAATTAAAAAAAAAATGCAAAAAATAGACGTGTTCCTGGCATCGAAATATATCACACCTAAATATACAGGGTGTCCCAGAAATAAGTACAAGTATTTTAAGTGGTGGTAGATCTCGATAAAAGAAACATATTTTCTCTTTATCGTTTTTCAAAGTCCAAAATAACGGAGTTATTTTACTTTGAAAATTTCCAAAAGAAATAATTTTTTGCTAAAGTTTTAAGAACCACTGGAACTTTTCTGGATTTTCTTTCTGATAATTTAATCTAATACCTATGTAGAATGTAGAATGCTTAGGAGGGAAGTTAGTCACCGCGACCTTAAAGATCTATTGTGTGTTCCCCTTTCTTGAGTTATAACGAGTTATAACTCATCACACAGTCTCAAGGCTTTAACAAAAGCCAGTATCTGACACGGCTCCACAGAGGCCAGCTCTCCATCCTTGACATCAGCCGTACCAAAGTTCATGGCAAGAATCTAATACCTATATTGCAATATTATAAAGAAATTATGTTTTTTAACTAAAAACTAAAAAAAAATTCCAAAAAAATTTTCAAAAAATTTGGAATTTTCAAAAAAAAGATTTTCTCGAAAAAAACCTCATAGCGTGTTTCTGGAGCTGAACTATACTTCCAGTTCAAATACTTGCACTTATTTCTGGGACACCCTGTATATACACTTACTTAAGACTCACCCTTATATATTTTTCTTTTGAATATTTTACAGAGCGAAAGAAAAGATAAATTGAATTTTTTTTAATCAAAAATTAATTTTTCTACTTTATGTTTTCTTATACTTGATTTAAATTATTTATTCTTTGTTCTTTTTTTCTGATACTTGACCACTTTACATATCAGTATCAATAAGAAAATTATTTTTTATTTTTATGTCACAGGAACGAAACCTGTGATCGATCACATCGTACGGTTTGTTATTATCTTTCAACCAATTTTGATCTCAGCTCGCTAAAATCACATTTTTATACAGGGTGAGTCTTAAATAAGTGCAAATATTTTCAGGGATGGTAGATCTCGATAAGAGAAAGAAATTATCTTTTTACCGTTTTTCAAATAAGTTCAAAATAACCAAGTCTGAAATACGTTTGAAAATTTCCAAAAAAAAATTTTTGCTTAAATTTTGAAAACCAAATTTAATCTACAGTTACCATGTTTTCAAGAAATGATGTTTTTTAACCGAAAACTAAAAAAAAATCAATTTTTTTTCAAAAAATTACAAATTTTCAATGTTTTGTTTGCGAAAAAAAATCATAATCGTGTTTCTGGGGTCTAAATATGCTACCCCTCAAAATATTTGCACTTATTTACAACTCCCCTGTATAATTAAGCTTCTATTTGGAAATCGCCCAAATCTAATATTGTTTTTTCTTTTTTTCGCTTCCTTCTAGCAGACAGCTACCAGTACCAACTGCAGTCCATGTGGCAAAAGTGCTGGAACACAAATCAGAGCCTGGTCCACAATTTGAGATTTCGCGAGAGAGGTCCGCTGAAATCGTGGCGACCTGAGACGATGGCCGAGGCGATTTTCTCCGTTCTTAAAGAAGGCCTATCACTGTCACAAGCAGCTAGAAAGTACGACATACCCTATCCAACCTTTGTGCTGTACGCCAACAGGGTGCACAACATGCTGGGACCTTCAGCCGATGGAGGCTCAGGTGAGACATACTTATAATTCAAATAATAATCTCCTAAAACAGTAGAAGTAAACATAATCTAAGTATCTTAAATTATCTATTTACTATGCTATTTTTAACGAAAAATAATTAAATCAAATTAAAGTGTAGAGATAACTAACAAGTTTTCTTTTTGACACCAACAGACTTGAGGCCAAAAGGTAGAGGTCGACCTCAAAGAATACTGTTAGGAATCTGGCCTGACGAGCACATAAGAGGCGTGATCAGAGCGGTGGTCTTCAGAGATTCGCATCAAATCAAAGAGGAGCAGCATTTATCTTACCCCAGAATACACGTAAGTGTCCAATTTATTCATCAAATCGACTAATTTCAAATTTTTTACGCCTATATTAAATCTGGACTCAAATGCAGCCTAAGTCATGACTTAAGATTAGTTTAGGTTCATCTTAAGTCAAGATATAAGATTTTTTGCTTAACTTAAGATGATCCTACGAAATTAAGAGCCTTTATACGTTTCGTTAAATGCCTAACGTTACGAATATAGAATTTCGATAAGAAGTGTTTTGTTTTTGTTATTTTAGGACAGCGTAACGATCCAAAATTACCAGAACAATTCGTGTACCAACGGCGCAGACCCCAACGTTTCCCCTGGGGCAGCTGCGGCAGCAGCAGTGGCTGCCGTAGCTCAAGGTCTTCGACAGCAAATGTGTAGCATGGTACGTACACAAATACCCATAAATATATATAAAAAATAGTAAATTAAAATAACAGTGAAAAGAAAATGAAATTAGTAATAACTAAATTAATAATAACAATTTTTTAGGTCGCGGCCGCTCACAACCAGAGCTCAGCGCACGATACCAACCCCGTGGCTAGTTTGGTCAACTCCCTGGCTCTAGCCGGCCATTGTGGCAACGTACCACTGCCCAGCAACGGCGCGCCGCCGATGAGCATGAGTCACATGGCGTCGATGCGCAGCATGAGCAGCCCCGCGGGCAGCATACAGGATCTGCGCATCAGTCCCGCCGAGTCCGCTATGGACAGTCCCATATCGTCGCCGCTCGGCCTCACCGTGTCCAGTTCGATGGAGCCGGCCATCAACATGCATATAGGTGGGTAAAAAGTCTTAAGCTTCATTCAGAACCTCGCAATTAGTTGAATAAATTAGTGGTTTCAATTACACTTTATACTTTTTAGTTTACGATCATTCACAATGTTTAAAAAACACAATTAAAATTAATAGAATATGCTAGCAACAGTGCAAAACTGCCAGAAATCTTCATATTGTCTTCTTTTCGATAAAAATCCTTCAGTCCTTTAATCGACGAAATATGACTGTAAAATCATACATATTGAAGGAAATCTTTCAATTTTGGCAACACTGCTGTATCCCCTTCCACGTCTCTTAGCAATATGCCTAGATTCTCGGTTTATTTCATACGTTTGGCAACGTTTTTACTGTTTTGTCTTTGTTCAGTACATTATAAACACATTGTACTCTTCTTACATACGGAAATCTCGACCCAAAACCAACCTTTGCCAACCCTTAGTATGCGAGTGGCTTTAACAGGTGTCTTTGGGTAAAAATATCTAAATGTCTGTGTTTCCCGTTGATAGGTAACAGCATGGACGTGGGCATCGGCGTGTCCGGCATGACGTACAAGCCGGCGCGATCCTTTGCCTCACCCCGACCGGAGAACCTCTTCCAGGAGGACATCGACGACCTGGTCAAGCCGATCCACTCCTCCCCGCCCAGCAGGCCCAAGGACACCATGGCCACCATCAAGATGGAGCCGATGACGGAGTGCCGGGGCGAATGAGCGTCGCCGATAGGCTAGAGAGGCCAGTAGAGGGCGCATAGAGACATTCCCCTCGTTGATACCGTAACCCCCCCTGCCTGTAGTCTATTCACCCTATTAATTCTGTCAGTTTCAAGCGGGAAATTTGAAATTGATTTGATTAAAATGCTGTATTTTTAGAGGCTATGGTGTTCTTTAATGATATGCTAATATTTATGGGATTCTTGTGTGTGACTCTTGGACCTATTCTAAGAAAAATATTTTTCTGTACAGGGTGTCCCACTAAGAATAGCTCTCGGCTGTATCTCAGAAAGTATTAATCGTAGGGCCTGCGGAAAAAAATATTTACAACTAAAGAGGCTATGAGAAATTGCTGGAAATTATTTTCAAGTTTGTAGAACTGACGCATATTACACCTACATATTTTTTTTAACTGTTTTGAGAAGTAATAACTTTTAAAATATACATTTTCGTCATTTTTTACGTAAAAACGATCTCTTGCAGTCCAAGAAAATAAGCCTTCAAATACGAAGTTTCGGTAAAAACTTGAATTTTTGATATAATTAGTTACTTTGAAAGATCTAAAAACGAATTGTGTTTTTTTTAAATTCACACCCGAAGAAGGGGTGAAATAAATAAATAAATTTGTTCTTTTCGAAATTTTGGAGATACGGTAAAAAAATGTTCAAATAAAAGTTGTAGATCGTTCAATTTTTCATAAAAATGGTCTCTATACTTTTCTTTTTTTTCAAATCAAAATTAAACGAGATAGGGTGGCTAGAAGCTAGGAGACAAGTTTTATTAAAATATTTATTTCAAAGTCCGTACCGTTTCTCTGATATTTGGAAAAAAAACACTTTATTTATATTTTTTCAAATTTTTATTATTATAAAAATATTTATCATTATAAATTTCAATCTAAATTGAAATTTATAATTTTTTAAACAAATTGAATAAAAATGTTAAATATACGAACTTTACAGCGACTTATATTTTTTTAAATTTCTGCTGTCATCCCCTAGCTTCTAGCCATCCTATGTCAGTTAACTTTGAACTGAGCAAATAAAGGATAGAGATCATTTCTATGTAAAATCTGACGCACCACAACTTTTATTTGAACTTTTTTTTCTGGTTCTTACCGTTTCTCCGAAATTTCGAAAAAATAATTTTATTTCTTTACTTATTAATTTAAAAAATCTTTCACAATTCGTTTTTAGATCTTTCAAAGTAACATTTACCAAAAATTCAAAGAAACATGTTGACTACATAGTTATTGCACTGAAATGATACATTTGGGAACTCTTTAGTTTTTTCTTTAAAATTGAATTCTTTAAAATTGAAAATTTCTTTAAGATCGTGAAATTTTCTAGGAAAATTTCATGATTTTTTAGTTCATTTTACTTCAGGGTCAAATCGCTAAAAATCTGATGCAGTGACTGTTAAATTAAGAGATACAACAATAAAATTTTCGTACATCAAAAAAGGCATTTTGATGCATGAAATTTCATAAAGATATTTATTATAACATCAGAGTTATTATGAAAAAGTTTTTTTTAGAAAATTTTACCACCCTGTATCTCAAAATTTAAGAAGCTTAGAATAGGCCCAAGAAACACACCTCTTTAAATATTAACATCTCATAAGAAACACCCTGTATATTCACAATAACGTTATTAAATATTTCGACTTCAAAAAAAACATAATAATAGGGTGAATTCTCCCAATTTTAACCCCCTTCCCCTAAATATAAATACAACCCCTAGCGCCCCAGCCACAACCCCCTCCAAAAAAACTATTTTTTTGTGTTTATTTTATTTTTTTTTCTATAACGTAGTAGGCCACTGTTTTTTTCAGTGCAATAATTTATTGAATAGTGTAATTCTAATTAAAAAAAAAAACTTTTTTTATACATACCTACAATTAAAATATCATAATAATAAATATGTTCATTTTAGATCGCGTTATTATAGTTATTATTATTATTAATATAACGAGGTCAGTGATTCGATGTGTTTTTTATTTGTTCATTTTAAATATTTTCAGTATTTATTTTTTTTTGTTTTAAATCTCGTTCATTTGCTGGTCTCATTCATTTTCGTACGTGTTATTTATTTTGTTTCTCTTTCTTTTCTCTCTTATATATTTTAATCGTTGTAAATTATTAATTAATTAATTAATTTGTTTTTAATTAATTATTAGGAAGCGTCAGAGACTTTTAGAACGTTATTTTTAATTATTTTCGTATTTTAGTATTTGTTTTGTAAGCTTGTATACTATAGAAAAATGAAACGCATATGATCACATTCTCAAATCCCAAAACTATTCTCCATATTTTTTTTTAATATCGACGAAAGTTTTACGGAAATTTTGAGCCACCCTGTACATAGTTAACAATAATCAAAATCTTATGTAGAGATCATTAAATTTAATGAAAAGTTAAATCGTATTAATCAAGGCTCTAGAATTTTTGTAAAACTTTCTGGAAAAAATGTATACAGTATGACTCAAGAAAATATATATTTATCATTAAATTCATGCTGATATATTCCATATAACGGGTATCTCAATATCTTTGTGCACGCAAAGCTACAGGAAGTTTGATTTTTTCAAGGTAATAAACATAATATGTATAAAAACTTGTGATTTATTGGTCATACTGTATATATGTTTATACAAGGCACTTTGAAAATAATGCTGTTTAGAATAAAACATTTACTTAAATTTACCATACGATCGAGATAAAAAAAACCGGCAAATGAATATCGCTTTCGTTTTATATGTAAAATTCCATGCCTACTTCACGCCGTTTTTTTCCAATGTTACTGTATTTTAACGATATTTCAAAGGATGATTTTTTCTTTTCAAGATATTTGACTATTTTTTTGAACTGCCTTGTATAAGAACAAACCACTGAAGTTAAAGATTATAGGCAATCCCATTTTATACAGGGTGTTTCATATTTTAGTAGGAAGTTTAAAAAATAAAAATAAAGTTCTGTATCAACGTAGTATCCAAAATGATTCATTTCAATGATACAGAGTGTTTATATTAGTACCTATTTAAACATTTTTGAAGGTATACCGGGTGTTTCTCCAAAGTGGCTCACCGCTATAACTTTTTTATTTTTTCAGATAAAAAAACGAGGATTTGGTATGTTAGTATATGACATAAATTAGGATTGACTTACGTATTCAATTGTTTTCGGTCACTTCCTGTTTAACCGGAAATTACTATAACTCTAGATTTTTAAATGATATCATCGGTATTTTTTTACTTTATTCGATAGAAAATGACATTCTGTATAGAATGACATCACATGTCAACTTTTGACATTTTCTTTAAAGGATCGTATTTTAAATTTCAATCTAGAGTACCATGGCTGTGTTAAAAACACTAATTTTTAATCAACGAGCCTTGGAAAATAGATTTGATCGTCTAATGTTTTTTTGTGTCTTGTTCTAGCCGGTTAAAATATGCTCAAATCGTATTTTTAATCATATCTCAATTTTTTCAAATGGAACGAGGATGACTCGAATATTTGGAATAACAAATAATTTGATACCACACACTTGGTATTTCAAATCAAATGGGCTCTTTCACAAAAAATAAAATACCCAATTCAAGGACAAAATCTGAAATAGAAGACTATTTTCAGTATATTTATCTAAAAAATCTGTTATAATATATATAATAAATGTTATAATTTCAAATAAACCATATGCGAAAATGTCAAAAGTTGACGTGTAATGTGTCATTCTATTCAGGGTGTCATTTTCTATCGAATAAAGTAAAAAAATACCGAGGTTGTCATTTACAATTCAAAAGTTGTAGTCATTTCCGGTGAAACAGGAAGTGACCGAATACAATTGAATACGTCAGTCAATCCTGATTTATGTCATATACTAGCGTACGAAATATCGTTTTTTTATCTGGAAAAATAAAAAAGTTTAGAGGTGAGCCACTTTTAAGAAATACCCGGTATAGCATCATCACTACCTAGGTGTATCCTATGGTTATGGGGTTCTAGCTACCATAAAACTGAAAAAAACTACTAAATAGTGACGCACCCTGTATATATTTTTGAATACTAACTGTCAGAAAAATAAAAAAACGTTTAATTTCAGTGGTCGTACTAAATTTTATTTATGTTTTTTCCTGTCCCTGGTTCATCCACAGTACCCTCGCCCATATCCTACCCGAGTATACCCGTTTTATGTATTGCCAAATGTACTATAATATGTTACGATGTAGCTAAAAAATACCCTCGATGAAAACATTGCAGAGGATAAAAATAAGCCCTAGTTAGATGTTGTGTATGTACAAAAGGGTGTGCTCCTAGTTAGTACTCTTGATATTAAATTTTGAAGACTTGTATGTACTATTAAAGGTGGCGGTCGTACCCGATCGCCGCCATTGTAATAATAAGAGTAATAGTTATTATTATTATCGTATTAGTTATCTATCGAGCTCATATAGACACAACAGATAAAAAAAATATGCCGGAATTTTTTCGGTTAATACGTGTTTTCTTTTTTTTTCCGTTTCTAGACTAACAAAAAAATGTATACAGTATGTCCCCGGATTGTCTTTTACAAGAGGAACATTTTTTTTATTATTTACATTTTGAGAAAAATGCATTATTCATAAAGATTTTTGCTTGCCCTAAAATGGTTTTCCAAATTTCTATACCGTTTTAGAGAAAATTAAAAAAAAACTGAAAATATGGTTGAATTTTTTCTATATTATAATTTCGTTATTATTCTTTGATAGATTGTTATTGATAAAATTTTGTTTAACGTCCTATTTATTGCTGTTGTTAAAATATCATACTTTCCGATAACCCTCAAAATTGAACTAAATAAATTTTATTAACAATTTTGTTTTAAAATGTTTAAAAAAATGAATTTTTTAACATTTTAAAACAGCAAAAAATATGGCGTTAATGAAAATTCTATCAATAACAACCTGTCAAAGAATAAAAACGAAATTACGTTACTATAGAAACGCGTTTTGATTTTTAGGGCTCAACCATTTTAGAACAAGCAAATTTTTTTATGAAGAATGCATTTTTCTCAAATTGTCAATAATAAAAAAGTGTTTCCTCTTGTAAAGACAATCCGGGGACATACTGTAGAGTAAAATAAGTAAACTATAGTTTTGACAGGTATTTCTGACAGCCAAGTGTCACTATAAATAAATTAGACCTAATTAAATTCCAAGGTACAATGGTACAATATTTTACAAGATATGCTATAAAAATTCTCCCATTCGTTGGAAACTTCTTGATACCCCTGTATAATCAAGCATGCATTGA